TTCCGCAAGCTCTTTTGTTTTATGCATTTTAGGCTGTTGAATATCGAACCAAAAGTTAGGAGCTTGATACCATCTAAAGTATGGTTCTGCTGATTGTTTGAGATTATCTGCCAACCCAATAGTTCGTTCTTTTCAGCTTGTTTAAATTCTCCATTTTTATGAGTCCTTCATTGACATTTTCACTGGAATCTTGAGTGTGCACCATCTCAACAATGTTGCATTGTTTTTCACTATTGCTTGTTCAAGAATATCAAGATATTAGCAACATTATTTGTAGTTACTGTCTTTAGACTGGATCATATTCAAATAGTATCATTTCGATCTGGTATATAGAGTTTTAGATATTATTTTTGATTGGTATACTAAACGGTGCTTATTGGTGTGGATTGTTATTTGGTTGATACAGTATATTCCTGGGACGAAAATGGTGTTTCCTGGACTGAAAAAGCCACAAGATCGTGCCGATCTCATTGCTTATTTGAAGGAAGGTACTGCATAGACAGGTTCTCCGGCTTTAAGCAGCCACTGCTCCCGTGATTTTTTTTTTTTTTAGCAGATAAAATAAATCAGACCAAAAATATTGTGGTCATGAACTGGTTTTGTATTATCTTCTTTTTTTTACTTCGTTAATGGGGCGAGTTTGCCTCGTATAAAGTCGAATATTCGTTTTTGATGTGAAGAACTGATCTCCACCACGAAATTCATGAAATTTTTATTCAACTTGGCTACCTTTGTTATTCAGAAGGCAAAATTCTCTGTTAATGACTCCTTGCAATTAGCACAATTATCTGGCACTTGCCTAGTTGTGATGGAAATATCATTCTGTCCAGTTTTGTACTTTGCAATATAATTTGGGTTCCTGATTTTCTTTAGTAAAGAGGTGAGAGTTCCTTTCCTCACAAGTCCACAACTAGTGTATTTAACCAATTTTTGGAAGAAAGGTTCCAGGTTTTGGAAACTAAAAATATTAAGATTTTAGTAAAACTTCGATAGAACTTGATTCTATAAAAGTTGAGTTTAGTTGGGATTTGATTCGGTACCTCGATTTCTATACCGTTCGAGTTCTCATAAAATCTGGTTCGGATTGAGATTGTTGAATTTCGATATGGTTTGGTTGCTTTAGTTGTTTCTCCCCGACCCCCGATACTAATAAATATCTAGGTTTGGGTTCGGCCATAAAACTGAAAGATGGAGAAAACTTGTATGTGATCTTAATCTTTTTTGTACTCTTGTTTCTGTTTATTTTCTTTGTATATTGCCATTAGCCACTCCTAACACGCACGAGCTAGAGTAGATAATTTGTTATTCAGAAGCTGACAAGCAAAAACAGGTGAGAACCACAAAATGATGGCTTTGGCATTGTCCGGTGATGGCTGATTCATATCATAAGATTCCCGTTCTTGAAAATCCGTACTCAAGCCTTCGGCTGTGAAGCTTTCCACATTCCTGGTATCTGTAAGAACAGGTATTTTATAATGAGATTTAAAAGACTGAAGTTGCAAACAGAGAGTGAGTGACACGAAAGAACACAGTCAAACCTCAACACCATGAGGTCCAATTCTGTTACGCGATATGAAATTCAGAACTAGATTTGCAAACTCCTCTGGTACATCTTCCTGCATTCATTTACATCCACTTAGATCATCATCTTGATATTAAAATCACTCTTTAAGAGATTAGGCAATCGCACTTTCTTTTACCTGTATGGCATGTCCAGTGTGTTTGACCACGATCATCTGAAACTTGCCTTGCATTTGACCAATTGTTAGGGTCCTAAATCCAATCATCAACATCGTTATTACAATACACTATAGATTTCAAAATCAACTTCAAGTTGAGACTTGAGCCAGAGGTGAAGAAGCCAGAGTTTCAGAGGAAAGATCGCGAATATGTATACCTGTCCAACCTGTCAGTTCCGGCTAATAGCAAGAGTTTTGGAACAGGAGATGACAAGAACTTCTCTGAGAGACCTTCGTACCTGCAAGGCAGCTAACATTACTCAAATCATAAACTATTCCAAGAGAGGTATATGTTTGCACTCGGATTCACAATGCCAACTGTTGTAACGCCAATATTCTTAGCAACCCGCAAGTCTTAGCTTATGATTTGTATGGATGAATGATTTTTTGGTGATAGACTCTCCATCTTGTGGTTTCTGGGAGCCAACATCCGCAGACTACTTATAAGATCCCTTGGTGACCAAATATGGACGAAATTCTTACAAATTCTATCCTAACAGATTTTATGTGTTGTGCTTAGAGAATGAAAACAAGAAGTAATGAGAGTCATACCAGCCTTTCCAATATTGCTCTGTTTCCTCTAGACGCGTTCGGTAAACATAGCTGGACAAAGGTTCATATTTCCCACTCATTAGGATGCAAATATGTGAATAACTCAAAACGGTGATATTGGCAATAGAGATACCCACCACTGCTTTGAATCATCATATATGAGAGTTGTGGGGATTGAGACACGAGCAGAATCAATGTTCCTTAATGATCCTCCTCTAACGCTGTATTCAATCTGTACAGAGATTATGCATTGCTTCAGATAAGCAATAAACCCAACAAAACTTACTACAACCAAGTAAATTGTTGTTTGCGGGTTATTGGTATCAATGGCTTTTTTTCTTTCAGTTCACAAAGGGTTAGCTTTAGCTCCGATTTTTTTTTAGTTTTATTCAAAATGAGATAAAGCCTCTACTTGGCATATTTTGACATCAGGAGCATCGACCACAAACAAATATCAACTTTATGTGAAAACCCAATTTTTAAAGCAGGGGGAAAGCAGCTTTATTTTGCTAAGAAATTTTTCAATAAAGCTAATCAAGGAAATGAGGGGAAGCTTCTGAAAGCTGAAAGGCCAGAAATTTCATTAACAAGGATTCAACAAAAGAAAAGATCAGAGCGTTTAAAAGTTGCTTACTGCTTTTTGGATGCTGGGAAAATGTTGCATTCTGTTTGAAAGAATTTTCTGCATGTGAATCAACGAGGCAATAGCAGTACCCTGCAATGAAAGTACTTTGGTCAGTTCATTTCACCGAGAGTGTAGACCAAGTGTAAAAACAGATGAGACTGTTCTATAAGAAAGCA